CCGAAAATGTATCGTAATACAAGTTTGGTGAAGGGCGGGACGATTAACAGTAGAGGTACACTGAAGATCTTCTGATACAGAGAAAACGCTTGCAAAATATCTGCCCAAAGCTTCTGCTTTCTCACCGCTGTTCACAAAGCTGTTCCCACTTTCGTCGCTAAGAATGGGGAAATTAGTGCTGTTTTGGAGCTTACGCCGTAAATAACCAAAAAGTTTTTTAGAACTTTTACTTGATAATCTACGCTCAAAATTTGATAGGAACTTTTTTAAATGAAAGGCTAGATCAGAACACATTTTCTTAAAGAACGGGTTTGATAGCGGGTCATTCATTTTATTGAACAAATTGTGTTTTTGGTCTATAAGAGCACGTATGTGGTTTGGATAGTGAATGTTATAAAATTCAAAAGTTTTTAAGCACTCGTATCTGCCCTTCATAAACTTGTGAACAAAAAGCTTGATAATATTCACTTAGCCCTGAGCAATTCTCAAAAAGAGTTGACATTTGCGAAGTAATTATTGAGACCTGCGCAGTCAGACTTGGGAAAATCAGGAATGAGATACAACGCTTTAGCACAACAGCTTTCTTTACTTCAAATCGTACGACATTGTGGTCGGCAGAAGCATTAGGTGGATAGATTGCAACATTTTTGATATTCTGAGTATTTGAGAAAATCAGATCTAAAACTGCATTGCTATGAGTTGGTTTGCAAACAAACTGTTCAAAACCACCTTTGAAAAACTCAAATAGAGGCTTTGAAGTTTGATCAACCACGACAAGGTTCTTCCAATCAACATGAAGATTGAAATCTCTCAATAATACTATAGCTTGGGATCGATATGAGACTGATCAATAGCTCAGTAAACTGTTCATCATCATGCTGAGTACTATTTGGAGGACGATAAATGTTAATGAACTCAAGTAGATTGTAGCTAGAGGGGCAACAGAGTTCAACGGAAAGCAAATCAATCATCATAACTTATGATAACGGGCTAAGGATGTTTACGTGACTTTGTGTGTCTGTCTGTCTGTGTGTGTGTGTGAGAGTGTGTCTGTCACGAAATTCGTAGAGCGTGTTCCAGCCAACTTCCTGGGCTCAAATTTTGCAGAGCGCATGTTACCCGCATGAAAGTCCAACATGCAAAAGCACGAGCAGATTCGTTGAGTGGATCCCTCAGAAACTGCATGTCAAACGGATCCACTTTGCATTTGGGCCGCAAAATTGGGTCCGTAATTCCACTTTTTTCAGAGTCGTAGATGTTTTTGCCAAGTAATATGCAAGCCATGAACTTAGGCTCAAAAAAGTGATCAAAAGACCATTACTTTACAAAAACGGCGCCAAAAAGTATTGGTTGCGTAAATGGTCAATTTGACAAGGTTTTACCAGACCATGTTTTTTGCACAGAGATGTAGCTCACGGTGATTGCTGTTCTTATAGCAACTGTGAAGACCATGAAAAATCAAAAACCTATGAAAATTTGCATTTGTTTTCCTGCAAAAAGTCTCATTCACGCGAAATCACCGATTTCACATAAAAAAGCTTTCGGAATGAGTAATTGTTTACATTTTGTTCGTGATAGTCGGCATTGCTCGGTGAGTTCCAATGCCATCATTATGCGAGAATGAGTAGGGCCTAGATAGTAGAGCAGTGCGAGCCTCTGCGAAGCAGAGGTGACGCACTGGTGACTTATAATAAGCCGCTTATTTGTCGGTCTGTAAGTCTGTCTGTTACGAAATTACAATGAGGAATGAGTTACGATATTAAACATCATGTGAGGTTGAGATAGTGAGTATGGTTCATTTTTAACTACGGCTCTCATGTTGCAGTCAGCTGAAGATTGGAGAGACATGCTCTCAGACAGTGAGTTTACCACGGTTCATAATGGCCAATGTGAACCTCTGCGAAGCAGAGGTGAAGCACTGGTATTAGATACCGTAAAATGGTCAATTTTTTGAATAGAAATATCATTCTTAACAAGGCAACATACACCTCCCCCAATTCTATTACACTATCTGTACGATGCACAGAATAGGGTATATCATTCACAACTTCGGAATCGCGTATTTTAGAGATAAGCCATGTCTCAGTTATGAACACCAGATCTGGTTTATATCGACAATGGAAAGAGTGGAGGTGGTCTATCTTATTTACAATACTGCGAGAGTTGAATAAAAAACAGTTCAATTTTCTCAGAATACCATGCGGATTCAGTGGTTTCTCCCGAAGGCCTGTGGGGAAGTTTAGCAGCACACTTGAGTTGCCCTCTATAGACAACCCATTCACGTGTTGCTTTGCCCCTATTGCGCTTTCTGGCCTGCTGCGCAGGTCATATTCCATACTTCGTTCTTCCTCCGTCATACTACGACGTATGAAAATATTAGGTGAGGAAGAACGGAGGATGTGAGCGCTGGCCAACACAGACCTCCAATAAAACTTAGAGGGGAGAACCACTTTAACTGGGTGCGGATGAGTCCCCCCACTCTTCCCAATCCTATTTAGCTCACTCACGCTACAGTCAACATTAAGGACATCAAAAATATCATCAACCTTTTTTTTTGAGATCAGCAGCTCTTTCGCAAGCACTAAGGCCCTCCGGTGGTCTCGGTACCCCACTGATTACAACGGTCCTAGACCGTTTCTCCTCCTCCACCGCACTACGGACCTCCTCCTGCAATTTATCGGACAGAAGAGACAACATTTTGCCGATTACAGGATCGGTATTTTTCTCCATAATACAGTGAAGTAGGGCAGAAGCAGTCAACTGGTTTTAATCATTGCCGGCAGACAAATCTACGCTTTGAACACTCACTGAATCATTTACAGGAAAGGCCAGTGAGGTTCTTTCAGCACGCGTAGACTAACCGGCATCTCTCTGCTCTACTCAATTGGAAAAACAATAAATCAATACCCTGAATGGGGAAGGAAACCACCAGAAAGGATGGGAATTCGAAAAAGAATTACAGAAAAAGAGATAAGGTGATGCTAAGCAGCCAAATCTCAAAAAGCAGAAACAAAAAATGAAGGAAATAGCAGCAAAAACGACGAAATAGAATGGATAAACACAGACAAAGAAAAAAGGAGCCGCACACGATGGACGACGCAATTAGTGTTACTCGTACTACTCGCGTTGCTCCCCAGTCAATGAGATTGCGTTATAGAAAGGATTGCATTTGTGATCATATCACTCTCAACAGCAATAAAAGCGGTAACACTAGTAAAACTAGTAACACGAATAGCACGGATAACCGAGTAACACTAGTGACACTGGTAACACGAGTAGACTAGTAACACTGTTGACACGGGTGACGCTGGTAACATCGCTAAACTCTGACGGATCCCTAAAGTACCAGAGAAAAGTAACAGGGATTGCTCGTTGACCGTGGCCATTCGCAATGGGGCAAAAAAGTAGGGCGCTATAGGACTTTAATCCGTTTTCGCCATCTACGAGCTACTCTTTGAAATTAAGTTTTTCAAAAGCGACCCTTTGAAATTAAGTTTGAAGTTTTTTGCATTAACTATCTAGGAGAAGTATTATTAGAATCAATAGAACTCGAGTTTTACAAAGTGATCTCAGTTTGAGAAGGTTATGTAAGCTTGTAATATTTTATTTTTAGAATGATGCTCTCGCGGGACGGATAATATTGTCGTAGTCAAATTTCAGTTTTAGTCCAGGAATGTAATTCCTATAAAAAATACAACAGACAAAATTGCAATACGAATACCTTTCTCATATAACGTTTACGCAAATGTTTGAACCACTGATCGAAAAGGTTATGAGATCAGCCCATAACCAAGGACGGTGAGGGTTATCTTTCAGCAGATGTCGAGTTTAGCAATTCTTCGCTGTGGGTTTGAAATATATGTATTGTATTTCTTGCAACGTTGATCTCGAAGATAGAGGTTCATAAGCCCGAACACTGAATAAGAGCAAGTAATTCTTGTACTTGATTGGCATAATAATAGATACTTGCTGAAAGCTAGAAGAAAACTCTTGAATCGACGATTTCGCCAATGACACGATCACCAAGTCAATGTTATGCGTTATGCAAATACTAGCTCCATGGAAAAATCCGTGATTTCAATGCGATATCGTTTTTTATTATTTCGTACACAATGAAATCAATAAATGGCTTTTCCCGTGACTATCCAGTTTAATTCATATCGCTATCCCGATCTTGGTGCTATTTTTGACACAAATTATACATATCTCATTGATTGATTCTTATTGCTCGGCAATGAAGGTGTTTGAGATCTTACCATGTCAGAGTTAAGACATCTACGTATCTCTTCTAATGTATATGCCCTTCTCAATGAATCCAAATTTTGTAGGCTAAAGCGTTCAAATGCGCAGCTCCAGTTTTCGATTTATAAAGAATCAAATGAAGCTGTGCCATACTTGATTCAAAATCGATCATGAAATCAATCAAGAAATCAACCCTCTTTCTACTAATCTAATCACATAAGCCGCTTCTTGTATTATCAAATTGAGCGAAAATGGTACCTGGAGTTGATTTTGATTGTCGGGAATATAAGGACCACTATCGGCTTGTCAGAAACTAGCGAAAAACATTGTTAGAGCCTTAGCATGCATTTTTTTTTAACATAATGTCTTCCCTTCCAATGAAAAATGTGTGATGCTTCGGAAGATCTCTGCACAGTGCGTAGAAGGATGAGGAACAAACGGCAAAAAAAAAATAAAAGGGAGTCTTCTGTTCACAACACATTATCGATCATTTTATATACAGACGATAATTTCATTGTCAAAAAATGAAATATTATGCTGAGGAAAACAGCTGCACAAATAGATACACAACCAAGTGTCCCCAGTATGACACCCCTATGGATTATGCTTCTGATTAGATGATAAAAGGGTACTTTTACCTTTTTACTAACAAATTGATTTAGTATTGTCATTCTCAAAATTATCAATAAGTTTTCTTGGCAATAATCTCCGATTGCATTATGAACTTGTTTCACTTGCCTGTGTGATTTCTCATTTCCAGTATAGCCAGGCATTCCTCATTTAACCGCAGGATATGCAAAGAGTGGTCGCGTTCGCTCTTATCGCACATTTAACTATTGCCAATGAGGTGGTTCAACTGAATCGCCAAAACATTCGCCAAGTGCTAGAAGCTCATCAGGTGAGCAGCTATTATATTCAGATTAACTCGAAGTCTACATTTTAATGTACAGCTCGTTTTCGCTTCATTTGGAGCCGACTGGTGTCCGTTTTCTCAAGCCCTGCGACCTGTTTTTGAACAATCTGCTGAACGTTTCAAGGAAGTTTACCCAGCTGCTGACGTAAAGTGGGCTTATGTGGACTGTGTGGCAGAGGTAGACGAAGCAGAAAAGCGTGTGCATTATCTCGGAGATACTTGGTTTGTAGGCCTGGATATGTACAAATTATTACGTAAACAAATATCCTACAATGAAATTGTTCCTTTATTCCGATATGATGAAAAACGAATATAGGTGAGTTTTTGTATGATACCAGTAAATACATTGGTATTAAGAAAAAATGCTATAGACAAGGCAGCTATATTGAAAAAGTCATTGTCCATGCAAAAAAAAATTTATGGACAAATTGCGGCAAATTACAGACAAGAACTAGTGCAAAGGTATTGTAAACGATGCTCTATAAAAAGTGAAAGGAGTGTAGCATCGTACCTTATCTAGCGTACAACATCTCCTTAGAAGCGCAGAGGGTGCTAAAACTCATATGAATGTTAAAACGCACATACAACTGTGTAAGTAATCATTAGAGTGGCAAGGAAAAAATTGTACTTACTGACGAAACACTAAATTATTGGGATGGTGCAAAAGTAATGCGCGTTTTACAAGTTCTCACTTCGATGTGCTATAACTATTTTTAAGAAAATCTAAATTTTCGATGCAATAAAGACTACCAGAAGCAGCAAACCCTTCTCAATATAGACACATCCACCTATACTCGTATCACAAAGGGCAGAAATATATGAATGGATAAACAAAAAAGTTTTTTTCCTGAAACCTCGTCTTTACCTGATCGTAATTTCCCTTTAAAATTTATTAGTATTGATGTTAAGTAAACTATCTTGTAGCTGCAAGCCAGTGGTACAGAAAAAGATGAAAAGGGCTTAAACAAAAAAGATTTGCGAAAAGAATGAAAAACGTCAGCTTTTTCAGCATCTCCACTAGGCCGCAAAATCTCAAAATTTGAAAAGTTTTGATTTTCTGCGAACTAACAGCCAAACGGTTTTGCAAAAACTCTCAACAGGAGGCCTACACTTACGCCTACAAAAATGAGCAAAGCTTTGGCCTTTTGGAAGAAAGTTATGGGCTAGAGAATGGCCAAAATCACTGCCTATGTTGAGGCGCCAATATCTCAGTCTAAGCAAAATCTATGAAAACAGTAAAGTGGGCATAGTGTAGACAATTTCTGTTACATACAGAAGCCGAACTTTCAAAAGAATTCCTTTCTTTGCGCTTGAATTCTGGCCAGAAATATAAATGTAATGAATCGATTTGAGCGCTATTGTATAAAGCCCTGTAAATTCTTGACGAATGAGGCTAGAAGAATTTTCAACCACTATTAGGTTAAGCACGAAAAGAGTTTCTTAAAATTGCGTTAAGTCTATTTCAAAAAAGGAAGTTTGATGGGAGAAGGTTGTTCTAAATCCAGGGCTAGAAAAACGCGCACTATTGCACCAGCTCACTCGCGGACTGACATGGTTCAAAATTGATGTACCTATATATTTTTCATTTATTTTGAAAGTTTAACGGGTACCAAAAGTCTCCAGGCAAAGATCGACAAGCAGCTCAAAAGTATATCACTTACAATTCTGTTTAGAGGGAGTCGAAATGTTGACAGTTTGATTACATATGTGGCTATGCATTATGCTGGAGCTATCCGTGATTTTCGAGATGATCGTGAACTTAGAAATATAATAGATGACTCGGCTCGGAACGTTATTGCGTATATTCGAAGAGAAGGCCAAGAATTTAGGAATATTTACGTGAGTTTTGATGAGTTCGAATACCAAAAGCGGATAGATTTCTCTTTCAGAATCTTGCAATACTTCTTCGAGATTACTGTCAAATATGGGTACCTAGTGTGGGAACAATTCAGCCAGAAACCAAGTATCGGCTTTACTATTTACCTCCGAATAATGAAAAACCAACCGACGTAAGATGTTTATTTCGCTTTTGTACACATTCACAAGAAGGTTCAGTTTGTTGGAGATCTGAAAAATTACACCTACCTCAAACAATGGTTATCAGATAAGTGCATACCCATAGTCAGGTAAGACAAGTAAATTGAATCACTTCCCATTTGGGACGATTTGTTATGAGTATTACCTAATTTGTGTTTACTACAGAGAAGTTACTTTTGAAAATGTGGAAGGCTTGACAGAAGAAGGACTGCCGTTCCTTATTTATTTCCGTGATCCATCTAAGAAAGAAGGCGACAAAATCTTTACCGATGCTGTAACATTACATTGCTAAATTGCTTTGCTTCTGAATATATCAATTCATATAAGATTCTAACTTTCAGGTAATTCGCGAGCTGTATGATCAGCGCATGACAATCAATCCACTTCTAGCTGATGGTCTGAAGTTTGTTCATCCCCTCAATCATCTCGGCAAAACTATAAAGGTAACACTCGGAAACATATATGTCGCTTAAAAAGATTTTTGTCATGAACACTTGTGGTAGCATAGAACTATGCCTCACATTACCGATGTCATGGGCTCAATACCATCTACCAGTGGCGTAGCGAGAGGGGGGAGGCCTTGAGAATGGGTCGCGAAATTTTTAAAAGCTACTTACATGGGTTATAAAAATGTGCAAGTGACTTTTTTATATCTGTGAACAGTTAAAATATTTTTGAATTCAAAAATTCAAATCAGCCGCGTAGAAGAATTTTTCGAGGGCGTGGCTGCCGCCGTGCCCCTTCTTCCCTTTTTCGCCACTTTTTCTGAGATTTCGGGGTTATGGGCGCGCGAAAGTTTTGAGAAACAAACCGAAGATTTTTTTCGGAGTGCGTGGCTGACGCCACAAATTCCAAAAAAAAATCCCCCACCCCTTTCCGAATGAAAATCCTGGGTACACCACTACTGTCTAGTGAGAATCTTAGCCAAATAGCCAAATTGAATCTTAGTAGCCACATTGAATCAGCACACTTGTTGTTGCGCTGCAACTGCTTAGCGAAATCAATTACGGAGTTGAAAAAAATTCTCGATTACTCTCTTCAACGACGTCTTCGGTATGTCTGGGATGTTATGTGTCAATAAAATGCATTCTTGCAATAATTTCAAGTGTTTTTTCGATTGCAATCAAAAACAAGGTGAAGTTCAATGTCTGAAGTGTAACTCTGACCTACGTCTCTTTCAAAAGCTAAACCTTTCTCTAACGTCTGGTATATAGGACATATACACACGCACGTAATTGCAGAATACCGTACGGAACTCGCTGCTAGAAATCAACAACATGGTGCTTAACGCAAAAAATATAAACTTTCCTCTCATGAGAACATTGGGTATTATCTCCATTGTCTTTTTGAATTCACTCCCCACGCATGTACCCCCGATAGAATGCATACTGATGATCATAATGCTCTAAACCAGGTTTTCAATCGCCACTACACTAAAATTTAGTATCAGGAGGCGTCACAAGAACAATGCTTGCAGGATCTCCCTGTTCTGGCGATTGACTCGTTTGTTCATATGTATCTGTTCCCAAATATATCCCAACTTGCGAAGCCAGGAGTTTTAAAGCAAGTGAGCTAGCTCAAAGTTTTTATTTCTATTCATCATGAAAAATTCTTGAAATCAATGTCATTCGGAGCGGTAGCTCAGTGAAGTTAATAGTTGTCAAGTAATATCAAGCTACACGGTATAGTTCGCAAACAATACAGCATGACTACTTTGAACATTACAACCTGCGGAACTGAACAAAACATTTCTAGCAGTGTTATTTATCATTTTAATCAGGATATCTGACACCCTGCATAAATTCAGATTTTTCAGTTCGTTGCGGACTTACACTCTGGCATGCTGCACAAACGTTTCCATCAAGATGCGGAAAGAAAAAGGCAAGAATACGAAAAGCATAAAAAAGAACGTAGGGTGAACGCTAGTCCAGAAAACCGGCGGGATGAAATAACCAAAGAAGAGGTGAAATTCTTATTCATTGGCTAGCACAGAGCCTCAGCTTAACAATTGCAGCCAATCAAAGCCACCCCTCCGCCATCAGTCTTCAAAGAACTAAAACCTAGTGAAAAGCGGTACTCATTATTACAAAAGACAGAGTTGTAAATAAGTGTCGTGTAGACTGAGTTTGTGCAGACTAAGTTTGTAACGTAGCCAAATTCAAGCCAAATTTTGTTGACCCAACTGTTAGCTTGTTTCTTTATTCAATAAAAGCATCGTTATCCAAGAAAGCTCTGTACTCTATCCTAATGGGGTCATTCAAAAGTAGTGAACACCTCAATTTTTCACAACAACAAGCTTTCTTTGATTAAACTCAAACATCCAGCACTGCAACGCCTTTCTTTGTCCTAGAATTCTGGTAGCGTTTCAAACTGTCAAATATTTTTGGAAGTCACCTGATCTTGTAACGTTATACCGAAACCTTCCAATATCTACAAACTATCAAGAAAAGCTTCTAAAGCTCTTTCTGGTAATGAGGTGTGCAAAAATTGCTGTTCAAAAGAAAGGCGGATTATTAGTAAAAATGCATTTCCGGCAAAATTTTTCGAAAAAAAAACGAATGTTCATAGTTTTCAAAAATGAGGAAGAGCCAGGGTATTTTGTACTCATGGATGGAGTGTCAAGGGTTCTGACGCTGATCCAAAATATGAGCTCAATCATTTATCTTAAAATGAAAATAGATGACATGTTTAACCATATTTAGAGCTATATCTTCTATTGCAAAGTATCGCGCATTAGGACCCATGCATATCTGGTAAGGAGCTCTCTTGCATCTGCGGCAGGAGCTGAGGGCCTCATCCGAAATGTGAAACGACGACGCATGGAGAGTAGCGCGTTTGCGCCATGCTTTCGTGGCCTTCCACAACAAAAAACCTTGAACGAGCCACACGCCCTAGGCGACCAACCTACCCCTACTTCAAGCTGCCAGCCATCTGAAGCTGTTACTGACATCGACGATAATTGCAATTCATTAGTAAAGTTAGGCACTACTTAGCACCGTGCCACTTCGGTTGATGGAAAATCTCTACCATGAAGATGTAAGCGTAGCCAAAGTTTGAGCCTGTGGCCTATCACATCCTTCCATATACAGTGTCCAAAACTATAATTCCACCCTGAAAACTGCCGTAACTCATCTGCTTCTCAACGAATTGATCTGAAATTTGGTACAGTTCTGTGTTTAACAGGCTACCATCCGTGACCAGAACGGATCCCGTTTTTGTTTGCTTATTCAGGAAATAATCAGAAATTTCGAAAAAAGCAGGCTTGAAGGTTGTCCAAAACTATAACCACCTATGGTTTCTGTCAACTAAAGTAATTCTCAGCTTCCAAAGTATTTGGTGCAATTTTTTGACTTGTTTGCAAGCGATAGGGCTGCATCTGTTTTATAGATGCTTAGCGAAGTGAGAACTAGAAAAATGTCGGAGTTTTCATATTTAAAGGCATGCGACATAGAGCTAACCGCAGGCCTGCGCTCAAATTTATGCCCTCAAACCCCTTCTGCAATGTTCTTATGAGCGTGAAGTAGAGTAATAACATTGTTTGTACGTATGAGAGTCCGTATGCAGTGGTTGCGGATATCCGTAGGTCTTAGCATGCAGGCTAATAAAGGAATTCTTCCTGCAAAAACTGATTTGCGAAAAGCCTTGAGCTTATTCTTGGTTCTAATCGTAATGGTCATGTGAGTCACAAGGCATCATGCAATGCAGGGTGTTTACACTATCCAGAAGCTAAATAGTGGCAAAAATCAGAAAAGGTACCATTGGTAAGTATTTTGGGATTGCCTAAATGTTATCATTGAAACGCGAAGATTTATGCTTTGAAAACGAAGCAAAATTGACTTGGCCAACAATCGCAAGTATAGTGTACAAACTTCTTTCTTTATGCAAAAGATGCTTTACATCATTTTGAGCTTACAAAAATAACATAAACCAATTTTGGAGGCAGAAATTTGAACGCAGGCTTGCTATAAGGTCTATGTCGGGTGCGCTTCAAATATGAAAACTCCAATTTTTTTCTAGTTCTCACTTCGCTAAGCATCTATAAGATAGGTGGAGCACTATCGCTTCCAAACTAGTCAAAAAACTGCGATGTACCCATAAAAACACATTTTTTGAACGAAATACGCATGAAAGTATTTTTAAGCGAAAAAAGCAGATGAACGTTTCTTATCCGTATGACACGGCTGGAATGAAGTGACTGCTTTGACTTTTGATTATGTATATGCACCAAATACTTTGAAAGCTGAGAATTACTTTAGTGGACAGAAATTTTAGGTGGAATTATAGTTTTGGCCAACCTTCAAGCCTGCTTTTTTCGAAATTTTTGATTTTTTCTTGAATAAGCAAACAAAAACGGGGTCCGTTCTGGTCACTGATGGTAGCCTGTTAAACACACAAGTGTACCAAATTTCAGATCAGTTCGTTGAGAAGCAGATGAGTTATGGCAGTTTTCAGGGTGGAATTATAGTTTTGGCCAGCACTGTACTACAACATGCCATCCTGGTTGCATTATTTGACACTGTACACTGTAGAACTCGTATCTCAAGGGACTGCCCGAACTCCATTCTGTCTATCGAATATTTAATAGGTTAATACATGACTCGCACCGGTAACCAGTAACATTTTGTCGCAATAAGTCATACTTCTCTTACATCTTAAATATTCTCTGTCGTATCATCTAAACATTTGCACCACGTTGATCCATGCGGAGTTTGAGTAATTGTATTAGGTTAGTGCAAAAGTTCGTTCGCACCAATTTCAAAAGTTCATAAGTTCCGATTTTTTCAACCAATTCGGCTGCTTTTATTTTTGTATGAAAGAGTAACTCATGCTCTTTACAATGACATCTTAGCTGCTTGCTAATGATCATTTGTTGCATAGATAGGAGCGATAGAAGAAAATCAGTCAAAATTTGAATTTTCTGTGTAAGGTTATAAAAAATCGGAAACTTGCAAGAAAAATCGGAGCAGTCAGTATTGCAGGTTCTTTTACCAGCTCTTTCTCATGGTGCAAAGTTTGCACCGATTGAGCGTTTCTACCAAAAGTTATGATTTCCCTAAAAATTGCCAAAATAAGTCAATTTCGCCCTTTTGGCTTGCTCGAAAATCGTAACTTTTGATAGAGACACTCAATCGGTGCAAACTTTGCACCATTAGAAAGAGCTGGTAAAAGACCTACAATACTGACTGTTCCGATTTTTCTTGCAAGTTTCCGATTTTTTAAGACCCTACACAGAAAATTCAAATTTTGACTGATTTTCTTCTATCGCTCCTCTATGCAACAAATGATCATAAGCAAGCAGCTAAGATGTCATTGTAAAGAGTATGAGTTGCTCTTTCATAAATGAATGCCGCCGAATTGGTTGAAAAAATTGGAAGTTATGAATTTTTGAAATTGGTGCGAACGAACTTTTGCACCAACTTAATATATCACAAGACTTTTGAAGTACAACCGTCAGCCTTCTATAAGAGCTTGTTTTAAGACAAGAAGAGAAGAAGCCCCACAAATGCGTAAAAAATATGTACCTTCTTTTCCCGTTGCCGCTCGACGATAGACTACCTAGCTCCTGCACAAGTATTCCTGTTCACGCTCGCACATGGACACAATTATCGTTAAGACAACCCTTTTTGACGAAGAGTACGAGGTGAGAATGTAGCAGGGGCTTTAGATCACCGACTATTTATTATAATGTTGAAATTGTTGTCGAGTGTTTTTGATTTAAGCGGTCAAAAAAGAGCCGCATGACAAGTTGGCATTGTTTTTGTTTTGTTTTTTGTTTTTGTTGCATGGCCCCTGATTGATCTACTCACTAGCTGTAATCACGTTCAGAATCTACCCTCCAGCACAAGGCAAGCTCTTGCATGTTTTTATCAACCATCTGTGACGTTTACTGTGAAAGAAACATCAAAAAGCATAATTTATTGCTGGTCGTTCCGTTGAAATAGCTTCTTCAGGAAAGTCTTCAGTAATGAAGATTGGAAGTGAAATATCATTATAATAAGCCTGAATACATAATTACTGCTTGCTAAAAACAAGAGTAACAAGTACTTAAGCAACTGACATTAATATTGAATGCGCCATACTTATCCACTTATTTTGTTCATTCGCTTCGAAACAAAAGGCAGTCTGCATTTTGTCTCAAAGCGAATGAGGATGACGTGACGAAGTGGACAAAGTGTAGCGTAACAGCAATAAGCAGAGTTCGGCCGATTTCAATATGACTTTGTGAAATCATGTTTTCATAAGATGATTTCTCATGTAGATTTTTTATGGTAGCAATAACTCGAACGTACCCATCAAAAACATGATAAAGTTGCCACAGTGTTGCAGTTAAGAATCCCAGCCACCGATTATCAATCATTGGAAGCAACTGGAAGCTCACAACGACGATTAGAAACAGTCCATTTTGGCATAGAGTCTGCGTAACAAAGTCAACAAAACGTATTTTCGCAAGTATGTGAATATTTCACAACAAAAATGAAATGAGTCACCTACTAATGAGGGAACACCGCAAGTTCAACACTACCTGTTTGAATAATCTGATCTCTAAACGACGTTTCTTCTGTTGCATATTGTTGGGTACAGTTGCATTTTGCGGATTGGTAATCTTGAAGAAGTAAAATAGCAAGTTGCATTGTTTTCAGGAGTAAGCAAAGCGTTCACCTTATTCTGCTTTCTAAGTCTCAGTACCGTAATACAGTCTAGAATAAGTGTAGCCAATATGAGAAGAATGTCTGTCTTGTTGAAATAGGAAGTTATTTTGCCACATGTTGTTTCAGCAAGTTTCCATCTCCACTGGCCGCTTTCATAATAAACATAACAGGAGGCTCCTAATGCAAGTAAACTATTAGGTTCTTCTTAGATTTATGCAAGTTTTCTAAACGATAGCAGCAAGGCACATATAAAATATAGTCTACATATCGATAGAGAAAAGCAGGTTCTACAAAACTGCGTTCACACATTCGCACAAAGTTTGCGTGAACTTTGAGAACAATTAGAATACCCAAAAGCCAGATCTTTATCCAAAACCCTTGCAAATCTCCTACTTAGTCACGCATATGTTATTATATGACAATAGCCCAGCATTGCTTTTGCTAGAGCTGTCCAACCTTTATTTTCTCACTTTGAACTGTGGATAATATAAAGAGCAACTGTATATATGCATGTTGATGTCCCAAATACCCAGTATATGCGGGCAATATATGCGAGACCAAGTTGGAACTTCGCAGGATCTTTTTGAAAAAAAAGATGATTTTCATGTGTATAAAAGCTTTCAAACTTCACGTAGTTCGAACTTTTAGCGATTGTTTAATTGTCATTTTGAAGAGATTGCTTTCCTCTAACAAATGATTTGTTGATGACATTTTCATGTATGCTCTGCCGCACTAAGAGCGTGAATCGTTTTCCGGGAACTCAATAGATAGAGTATAGTATTAGACCTACTCCAAAAATGAGGAATAGTCTGACTTAATCCAAGAATCCAAACCATTATTACGGTACAAAGCGACTTTTTCCTTGTAAGTATACTAGCTCCTTTCAGTGGCAAAGCCACCGCTATCAAGCGATTTATGGAGAGTGCCAGATGGGAGTAAGAAGTTACATAAAAGAGCAACGTGACTATTTGTCCCAATATCTTATTGATCAAGGTTGAGGGTTCCTCTTCCCTAAATGTAGAATGTCATCCTTATCATCATTATTAGATGACCACTTGCCTGAGCATTGATGGTGCTACCCACAACAGGCAAACTAGTAGTGCTCCTAAGCTAGTTGTTATGTGGGAAAAACAAAATATACTAAAAGCATTCCGTCGCACTGGATTGAACAGCAAAGTGATTGCTGCGAAGATATTGACAGCCACTCCAAACATGCTCACCTGAAAAATTGGTTTACTTTACCATGCAAATCTTCATGTGGAATACGGAAGCGGAGCCTAGGTTCGAAGTCATGGAAACTATACTTGGGTCCGAATCGAATAGAAACTCGATCATTCGAGTAAAACATTAGAATATATTCGTAATCGAAATTCGATATTCGGAGTTCTTCCATTTTCAAATAATATTCGAAACTCGAATAATTGAGAAAACGGGGTTTCGAATAAAATTTGAAACTCGAATAATCAAGAAACAGAGTTTCGAATAAAATTCGAAAACTCGAATAATCAAAAAACGGGGTTTCGAATAGATTTTATTCAAATGTTTTATTTGAATGTTTATTCGAATTTGTATTCGAATGAACTCCGTAATCAGATTATTCGACTTTGTTACAGAGCCAACTGCTGAGTATCAAGCTTTCGTTTTTTTTATCTTTGCATCTGTCCCTACACGGGGTCTGCCGCTCTTGTCAGTCTCTTCCATTCTTCTCGATCTAGTATCAAGCTTTCGTCTGCGTTATTTTTTCGCAAAACTCGGTAATGCATCTTTCGAACCCTTATGACCTTTGAACTGTATGGAGGGTCGCATTCTTCCGATTGCTTGCAGTAAAAATCATGTGGATTTTAATGGATGCTTTTTCGATCAATGTGATTGTTCGCACTGCTATTGGCACCAAATCAGCAAAGAAGCTATCAAGTTCAAGCCCATGTTCCAAGTTCATATAGTGAAAGTGTTTTGAAATGCCTGTTCTTCTTCCTTTGCATTGCTCATGCTTGCGGTACGCAATGCTCACACCAGTGCGCACTCTTGCTTGCATAAGTAGATTGCACAACTGCCTCTATTCGCTACCTTAGAAATTTTTTGCGAATTGGTGTGTTTTGAGTAAAGGACATTGCAGTTATAGTGAAGGATTAGACGGTTTAGATCGCCGTACGCGATTTGCCAGTTACGAGATGTCTTCAAATGTAACGCCAGCTTTCCACAAATAATTTGCGTGTACAACTCACTAAAAAGATAAATGCCCTGCATTCTGTACTTTTAAAATAAGTTTGGACAATTTGACGATTGCCAAACCACGTCGCCACTGAAATGCCTGCAGTATGCCCGGGGCTGTAGGGGCATTCGCTCGTTTCGCGGAAAACCACATGCCTTCGTCTACGATTAGCTTATACCACACAAGACGAAAGTCTCCGATGAACAGGCAATGTATCGTGGACTTTGTGGCGTTTAAGTACATATGTGACCACAGTTACTGCTTCAAAAGTTCGCACACCTAGCGCTATGAATCCGAACAGCTCGTTAGGTGAACCTTTATCAATTTTTGGAGAAGTCTGAGCTATGGGGCTGGGAGTTGGAACAAGGGGGTAAGTTAGGGTGCTGATGATGAATTGAAAATTACTTTATTAATTTTGTCGATGGGAAAATCTTGAGCTACGAGGTTGGGAGTTGGTACAGGGGGGTAAATGAGGACGCTGATTGAAACCAAAATCTATTTTATCGACTTTGGAAAATTTTGAGCTAGGAGTTGGTATAGGGGATACGAGGGTGCTAATTAAAAATAGGTCGGCTTTGGCCAGATATGTCGGCAAGTTTGAGATATGGTTGCTCTAGTTATTCGAAATCATTCGATTATTTATTCGAAATTCACTTCCAATGTTCGAATATATTCGATATTCATTCATTCGCTATTTTTAATTTTCCGAATTTATTCGGAGTTCATTCATTCGAGCATTTTTGAACCTCGAATTTATTCGATATTCGTTTATTCGATTTTCCTTTTTGAATTTATTCGATATTCATTCATTCGATGAAAAATTTCCGAATTACCGAAGTATAATGGAAACACGCTGAACTTCATTTTGGGAGCCATAAGCAAATTGAGTATCGTATACAAGCACGTAAGCGACCAATTAGGCCCCAGAAAAAGCTTGTTATACAATTGGCGTCAAGGATATTTTTCCATAAGCGCGCGCAATAATGCCGTTTAAGTAAACAAATGACATGTTTACAGCGCAGAGACGATCATATCAGGTTGGACTATTTTTTAAGTATTATCTGCAAAATATCATGTGAAAAGTTTTAAAAGCTTATATATTGCACCTTCTCAAATTAATTGTCTCCCAGGACACCACCAATGGCCGTACTCATCAAAGAACCCACTGAGTTCCGGAACCCATTGGATTCGTGAACCCACTGCGTAAGACCGGTATTCGCAAGTGCTCCGCTGGGTTCGCTCTATTACGTCAGCAATGTGCCTCTATAATCCGTAGACTATTCCCTCATCCTCGACATACACTGATCGCTCTAAGCTAAGAGCGTCGACAGGTTTGACATACTTTCGGGAACTCATATGTTCCTAACAATAAGAATGGACATCAATCAATGTCTTTTGTGCAACTAAACTAGCATTTCACGCTTCAAGAAAAACAAAACGGTTTTTAGTCAGAATCATTTGTTCCTCGATTTCGTGGAGTACACAATGAGAATGGAATATGTAGTAATCATGTAGTCACGTATTAGCTTAAGTGTAATATAAGTGTTGCTAGTAGTAACCATCCCTGCCTATGAGGTCTACACAGTATTCAGCAAAGGGACTGGGTTCGCATGTAACCCACTTCGCCCCATGCTTGGGTTCGCTAACACCGCTTACTGGGTTCCGGAACCCACGAAAACTGGGTAACTTGTTGCGTGGATGCCGATATGCTCGTCTTTGAGTTCGCCAAATCTTTGGGTTCATTCGTGAATAGCGTTTAAGTGGTTTTTCGAGGGTTCCGGAACCCACTAGCTTCGTGAATACCGATCTTGTGGGAGAGAGCCTACCCAATAGATTGTGAAAAACTTACTGGGTTCGTTGTTGAATACGGCACCACCAGCACAACTAGGTTGTCTTGAAGCATATATTATACTTCTGCTCCACATAAGTTCTCATGGACTATTCAGATTTTTTGTCATGGACTAATTTCCGATCGAAAACCCATCCATGAGCCAAATACCGATTCAGCCGCTAATGTGTTGGATCCCACACACCAATTTACCTTCATTACGAATGCAGCTTATCTCAAAGTTGAAAACCTTGAAAACCCTTGAAAATCTTGAACGTGGCATACACAACAGCAATTTTCAGTTCAGTAATGTAGTAGTGAGGGATAGTAGTAACTAGTAAGAGTACTTTTTAGGCAATGTGAAACTCTAAGACAGTATTAGAATGTGAAGCTTTCCCTCAAGCTGCTCTCCTCTTCCCTTTCCTCTGCCAACAATGCAGCCCTAATTGTGAAAGTTATTTGGCAGCAGCGATGTGAATATATTAAGCCCGAAGCTTGAAAAAAGGAAGCTGTTTGTGATTATCTGCACTTGAATCAATACTACATGTGAATGCTGAGGTCTCACTTACCAGTGCAGAAACTACTGCAACGGCAACATCCTTGACATGCAGTGGGTATGCGGACATGCTAGAAATGCAATTAGAAATAAAGGTCGGAGTCTTATCAAAGAGATTTCCCGTGCGATTCAAATGCGATAGCCAGCGCACTCTTCTCACTGTTCGAAAAATGCTGATTAGAGACGAGGAAAGTGCACATTCTGTCATATAAAGTGCGGTTCATAATAATACGAACACCAAAAATTTTGTAAGTTTTTGGACTTTTTGAGAGAAACTCAAAAAGCCGTTGGTACCACGCGATAGAACACAGCCAAAAACGGTATGAGATTTATAAGAATGGAAATCGATGTCAACTGTAGGAGTGTTTTGCGGCTAATGAATTTTTAGCGGTTCATAATTATACGAACACCTCAAACAAAGGTCCATTTTTCATTCAAAATTGCAACCGTTTGAGTCCAAATTTTTTGAAGAGTTACAGTGACAAAGTCTGACATATCTGCTATATACTAAACCTAGTGCAGTTCAAAAAGAGGATCGTTAATTTTTCAAAAGGCGCTAAATGCTTTCGGAGTGATTGGGCTCCAGAAAAACCCGTTCTTCTGTGGTTTACGCTCGCTAAATAGCTTCTACCAAAGCTTTGAGATGAAATAAGCTCCTGCGGTAGGTATTTTGTTTGACGCTTTGAAAATCTTTGCGTTTTCGTGCCGTTTTTCAACCAAGTTCCAACCTTACCATAGAGTTACCACGAATTCGAGCCTCAAAACTCAGCTTCTGAAGCCGTACAATGAAGTAAGCATATAGTATGTAGAAGTTCACAAGACTTTATATTTGGCTAGAAAAAATCAGCAGCTTGAGCGTTTGTTTTGGCCACGCAGAATTTATTTCACCAGAAATACTGTTTTTACTATTGCAAACACACCTTTATTCAGTTTGTAGCTCCACAGCCGCAAGATCAGTTCTAGAAAAAACCCAAAAACTTTGGCACAGAAACATTATCATGCAAGCAATGCAGCTGCTTCATATCAAATGTTTGCGCAAGAAAGAAGGTGAGTTTTGAGGCTCGAAATCGTGCCAACTCTGTGCTAAGGATGGAACTTGGTTGAAAAACGGCACGAAAACGCAAAGATTTTCCAAGCGTCAAACTAAATACCTATCGAAAGAGCTTAATTTATTTCATAGCTTTGGTAGAAGCTAATTAGAGCGCGTAAACCACAGATGAACGGATGTTTCTGGAGCCCAATCACTCCGAAAGCATTTAGAGCCTTCTGAAAAAAAGAACGGTCCTCGTTTTGAACTGCACTAGGTTCAGTGTGTAGCAGATATGTCAGAGTTTGTTACTGTAACTCTTCAAAGAATTTGGACTCAAACGATTGCAATCTTTAATGAAAAATGGACCTTTGTTTGAGGTGTTCGTATAATTATGAACCGCTAAAAATTTGCATTAGGCGCAAAAACACTCCTAAAATTGATATCGATTTCCATTCTTATGACTCATATACCGTTTTCGGCTGTGTTCCATCACGTGGTATCAACGGCTAGTTGAGTTTCTCCTAAAAAGTCCGAAAACTTACAAAATTTTGGGTGTTCGTATAATTATGAACCGCACTTTAATAGCAATTTCTCGCTGAAACTAAGGAAATACTGGGTTTCTGACATCTTCAGATCATTTTGTTAGAACATTTGCCTCCAAGAGAAGTTTCAGCAACTATGTGTATCCCTCTATAACTCTTGCCTTTATTCAGTCCGACAAGTCCGTTTCTAATGCTAATGAGTGGATCTACTTCACTAAAAGCAAAGGCTATCAAAAATCATTGGTTGTGCTAGGTTGAGGCAAAATCAGTGTCCGTTTTGCGCTACACTTTGACAAGCTATGACTTTCACCCTGTATTCTTGAATAACGACCATTTAGAGCAATAAACCTTTGCAACGCTCGCTCGTACTGTTACAAATGGGACACGTTCTGGAAAACAGAGTTCTTTTACTTCAAACCTCGACAATCATAACTACCTTCGACTTTCGGTGTTATGGCCGGTTCAGCTTTTTTGTAGCTGCGACCTTTGGTTTAACTGTGAGTGGAAAGGGCTCCAACGATAATATTCTGCGTTGAGAAATAAGAGAAAGCCAACATTGTCAACTGAAACCTATGACATAATAAAATCCCGGATTAGTGAACGAACTAAATCCTCATTTTGACAATCGTTAACTGAAATTACGGCTGCCCATCCTATTATGCCATACGAAGCAAACTTGAACTGGCAGTCAACCGTCCGGTCAACTGCTGCGGCGACTTTCCCAAGCTGTCGTAAGTCAAGGATGGATCAAAGGTCGATTGCCATAAATAGTGTGCAGAAGTGGAGAATTAGAGGAAAGCCCCGTGGATAGCTCCTGAGTAGCATACGGGACAGGCAAAATAACTTAATACAACCGACGAAAGTGCGCAAAAATACCCTCTGATTCATCGGGTTGCAGGCTCAAAGGCGGGAATTTGTGACCTAATTAAGCTAGAAGATGATCATAGAGCGCGTTCGCGAGAGTGACGCACATTCCGCGGGTGCAAGCGGTCGCTTTTCAGCCGCCAATCTCATTGAACCAAAAGACACTGGTCTGCGATGGACAGAACCGATGAACAGCTGATCTTAGCCATAGAAAAAATGATTTTCAATCCGCTTGAGAGGAAGGGGCAGCACTTCAATGTATCACTGACAATTATTAAGTTACGAGCTGGCAAACCCGTCTCCGCCCGGTCCTATCAATAATGTATTCGAATCAGCATGTCCACTTACCCCCTCCCCACCCTCCCCACCCTGCACACCCTGCACACCCTGCACACCCTGCACACCCTGCACAACCTGCACAATCTGCACACTCTGCACACCCTGTATACCCTGCACACCCTGCACTCCCTGCACAACCTGCACGACCTGCACCCGAATGTGCACAAACACACAAACGTACTCATAGATTTTCTGCTTTATATACATGGAGATTGAATAACATGATCTGCGCACAAAGACTCGCAGCTTTGTGTTGATTTTTTTAGTTAGCCGCTGTCTTGCTTCAACTCAGAATAATTTTTTTCTAATCTTTTTCCACTTCTCTGTTTTCCGCCTCATCGTTCTAATTGAGGCAGGTTATTTCTTGTTTTTTGTTGATAAAAGTTCTGCACTGAAGTCCAACTCCACACCACATGCTTTACTCAATTCAATTTCCTTTGTTTCTTATTTTTACACGCTTTTTCTTGCAGCATATACTTCAGTTATTGAAGAACTGTACAATGAGACGTTCTTTCTTTTAAATGTTCCCTTCTACTCACAATATAGTGCTCATCCAATTTATTCATTGCGCCCGATATCAAAGATGGTGGGCCACGTAGCAAACGTGTTGCCGTTGGCTGATTTCTAATCACAGCTTGCTTGCCTGCTGACTGGCGACAATTCTATCTATTTGATTAAATCTGTGTACACGAGATATTATTCGTTGAGACTGCAAAGTCTACAAAGCGATCCGCATCTATTAGGTTGATGCAACAATAATGTCCGTAACATACAGTGACCGCCAAAAAGTTGCGGACAGGTCGCCTTCCTTCTTTCATCGCTCATTTTCAGATGGAAAACGAAGATGAAAAAATGGTTGGATTGCATGGTATGATAGAGCTCTCCAAGAGCTAAATTTACACTTTGCGCCTTCCGGAAAACATGTATCCTAAAAATTGTAAAAATCTTTTTCTAAAAAAGGTCCGAAAATGGCCGCGTCACAATGTCGCGGACAATAATTCTTCATACGCAAAAATTTTCTTTCAAGTCTTTTTTTGGAGCAAAAACAAGCGTTTTCCGGACAGGAAAGCATACTATATTGTAGAACTCATCGAAGACAATAATCGGATAGTGGTTACTTCCAAAAAACCTCAAGCTTGAATTTTATTTTGCTTCTTTTCAAAAAATAACTTCTAATTTCCTGCTTCAAGCCAAATTTCTTCATATGGAAACCCATTCAAGATATTCCAACAAACTTCCCGAATAAAATGGATGTCCTTTGCCATTTCCTATGCATCGGACGCGTGCTGGTGAGTTTATTTGCTGAAAATGGCTTTTGACACTGCGTGCACATGACCTCACCTACACCTCACCACTGATTTGCAGCACTTTGCAAGCTTGTAGCTCGGCCAGCAGTCACTCTACGAGCCTGCTAGTAGGCTCATTTGAAAGAGCGTGACTTCTGGATACGATGGTATGCAAAAGAGTTGGGTATGAGAAACAGCGGAGATTTGGCGGATGGGGTGAAAAAAAAACGGAGGAATTTCGACGAGATATGCGATCTTTACATTTTGGGCAAAATTCATGAGAACGTGTTTTCGTAGGCTCGTAACTCGGCGAATTTCACAGACTGGAGCCTGAGTAATGCACCATTCGATAGCACAATTTCTAGTAACTTCGATGAGAAAAGCAAGCAGGCAAGGTTTCTGACAGATACGCGAAAAGTGCGGCCAAAATCACGCACTTTCGTGATGCAGTTAGTTACAGTCACCTCACCGTATCTCTCCAGAAAGACCCTGTAATCCTCAAAGACCACGATTTTCGTAAAGAACGTGTTCGAAAACCTCTGTAAGCGAAGTTTCCTTACAATTCAAGAGCATCAACATTTTGACCAAAATCCATCGGCGAGCTTCCAGAGCGTAAAACGAGAAAAAATGAAATAATCCGAACATATTGGAAAACTTGCTCGTAGAGGTAATGCGACCTGCTGATTTCGAAACTCACATCTGCTTAGCAAGATAGCTTCGTATCCTGCGGATATGGTGAGTAGAATTTGGGACGACAAGATTTTTTCACAATTCACTCGCCGTTCTATTTCCTTTGAAAAGAAACCTGCGGCTACTATCTAGCACATTATAATCTACAGAAAAAGTGCTATCGAAATATCCTTGCTGGAATGTACTCGGGACAATGCTCGCTGCTTTACACCTTCGCGAAAAGAAGTCCCCAGAAAGATTCAAGAATACTGAAATCGAAATACCAAGGACATGCTGTATACGAGAAGATTGCCTTGATGAGCTGAGCGAGGTGCTGTTT